GGGTTTTATTCAACTCCTGGAACCTTCCCCCTCTTTTCTACTCTTCTAGGCCCACAGCAGACAGGAATCCCCTCACAGATAGTGACCATCAAAGAAAGCCTCACTGCATGAAAGCAACCTGGTTTCCCCCACCCCCAAAATAAGTACTGTGGATTAAGTTCAGGGGGAAGAGGAAGAGAAATTAATGAACTTAAGCTTTTATGCTCAAGTCCAATTCAAGCTAATATCTTCTTTCTAATAGATGGACGAGAAGAGAAGAGGCTGATTTTTACCGTGTGGCATCCACTTTTGGGGTTATTTTTGACCCCGTAAAACAGCAGTTTGACTGGAACCAGTTTCGAGCCTTTGCCAGACTTGACAAAAAGTCTGATGAGAGTTTGGAGAAGTACTTCAGTTGTTTTGTGGCCATGTGTAGGCGAGTGTGTCGAATGCCCTCTAAAGCAGATGATGGTAGGTACATTGAGTAACAAAATTCTGTACTGAAAGGCCAATAAAATGACATTTTATTTTTAACAAAAATGAGAAGGTAACTCGTTTTCCAAAGCAAATCCAATTGCTTTTGTGTTCTAGAGCCACCCGACCTCTCTTCCGTGATTGAGCCAATCACAGAAGAGCGAGCCTCTAGGACTCTGTACCGCATAGAACTGCTGCGGAAAATACGCGAGCAAGTTCTTCATCACCCTCAGCTGGGAGAGAGGCTAAAACTGTGCCAGCCAAGTTTGGATTTGCCGGAGTGGTGGGAGTGCGGGAGACACGACCGAGACTTACTGGTTGGTGCTGCTAAGCATGGGGTCAGTCGGACGGATTACCATATCCTCAATGACCCTGAGTTATCCTTCTTGGATGCACATAAAAACTTTGCTCAGAACAGAGGGGCAGGTAACGTATCTTCCTTGAATCCACTGGCAGTTGGGTTTGGCCCTATTCCCCCAGTCATCTCGTCCACTCACATTCAAGATGAAAAGGTGATGGAGCAAACCGAAAGTAAAGTGGAGGAGTCGGAAAACCCAGCTGCCAAAGAGAAATCTGAGGTGAAAGAAGAGGAAGAAGAGACAGATGGTGGGGAGAAGGACAGTAAGCAGGAATGTGAGGCCAAGGCGAGCTTGGTGAAAAATGACCTGAAGGGCGTGGAGGGCAGCACGGACATGGGGCCCAAGTCTGTTTCAGAAAAGGGTTCTGAAGAGGATGAGGAGGAAAAGCTGGAGGATGATGATAAGTCAGAAGAGTCTTCCCAGCCTGAAGGTAATGCCTGGCGACTTGGGCCTTAGCCTGATTGCACAGAAGCTTGTGGTGAGATGTGTGGTTTTCATGTAACATGACAGGTGCTTTCCTTTCGAAGGGTAAT